GACGTCCGCAGCCCCTTGTCTCCATTATCCTCTATCATTTATGTTTTCTTCAGACTGTTGTATCAGATTTCGTACTTTGTAGACCTATAGCAGATTTTGTAGTAGCTCATGACTTGTGACACCCCGGTTTGGGCTATGTCGGGATGGTTCCTGGTGTTATTATCGTTAAATTCCGCAATTTATGAATATCATATTATATGTTACTACTGTTTATGATGATTAACTGTTTAAAAGAGGTGTTCTGTTTTGTTCTGGCTGGCCTTGTTTCCGCGAGAGGCGCCATCACGACCGGGTTCGGGGATTGGGTCGTGACAGATTTCTTTAATTTGCAAACATGGTGAGGACTAGGTGGGGACAAACCTGCACGAAACTTCATGTAAACTTCTTCCTGCAGGTCCCCATGGAGAAATGCATTGCTAACATCAAATTGAGAAATAGTCCACTCCTTTTTTACAGCAACTAAGAGAAGATACCTGATAGTTGTCATTTTGACGACAGGAGAAAATGTCTCAGTGTAATCGATCCCTTCTCTTTGTATGTCACCCCTGATGACTAGTTGAGCTTTAAGCCTCTCAATACTCCCATCTGCATATTGTTTCACCTTATAGACCCACTTGCATGATAAAGCTTTCTTACCAGGAGGAAGAAGAACAACATCCCATGTTTTATTAGATTCTAAAGCCTAATTCTCTGCATCCATTACTTGTTTCCATCCTACATGAGAACTAGCTTGGGAATAACTAGTAGGTTCCATGATAGGTGAAGAAGAAGTGAGAATATGCTGACTCTGAGTAGAGAGAGCATGAAAAGAAAAAACAAGAGGTGTACATGTAGTAGCAAGGCAACAGGTGGTAAGATCAGTGAGGTATACGTAACTGCAAACATAATGATTTAGATGTCCAGGCTTAGTACCTAAATTAGGTCTCTGAGATATTCTGAGCCCAACAGGCTGGGTGAATGGTGGAGAAGAGAGATGGGACTAGGAAATATGGGAGAAATATGGGAAGTAGGTGGGGAAGTAGGTTGTGAAGGTAATGGAGAATGTACAGGTGAGGGGGGTGAGCTTGGGTGTGAGATAGAAATAGAATAAAATGGAGTAGGAGGGGCAGAATTATCTGAGGGAGCAGGGGAGGTAAACAAAAGTGAAGCAATGTCAGAAGAGGAAGAGGAAAAGGGAAATATGTCTTCACAGAACTTGACATCCCTTGAAACAAAAACCTTCTTAGTTTCCACATCCAACACTTTGTATCCCTTTTGCCCTGTAGGATATTCTAAGAAGACACAAGCCTTTGCCCTAGGCTCAAATTTGCTCCTGTTGTGAGATAAAGTGAAAACATAACACAAACATCCAAAAGATTTGAGGAAATGATAAAGAGGGTGGCTCAGAAAACAGTATTTCATAAGGAGTTTTGCCTTGAAGAACCCTAGAAGGAAATCTATTGATAAGAAAAGTAGAAGTCAAAATACATTCTCCCCAGTAGCAAATAGGAAGCTTAGATTGAAATAATAATGCTCTAGTAATCTCTAAAAGGTGCATGTGCTTCCTCTCAACAACCCCATTCTGCTGAGGTGTGGCCACACATGATCTTTGATGCAAAATGCCCTATGAATTCAGAAATGTAGATTCTAATGTACCTTTCCCTAATTCTAAAGCATTATCTGATCTTATAACTTTAACCTTTGAAGCAAACTCTATTTCCACCATACTAAGAAACCATTTTAAAACTGGAAAGGCATTACTCTTAGTACTCAGCAAATAGGTCCAAGTTCCTCGACTGAAATCATCCACAATCGTGAGAAAATATTTATAACCATTATAAGTAGGAACACGAAAAGGCCCCCATGTGTCAATGTGTATTAGATCAAAAATGCCTTTAGATTTGATTTGACTGATTGGGAAAGACAACTTAGATTGTCTAGCTAAAGGATATATATCACAAGAACAAACAAGATTGGGCAGAAATAAAATAGAACTGATGTATTTCATTGCTTGAAAAGGCAAATACCTCAGTCTTACATGCCATAACTTTACATCAGATTTTGTTCTTGCAGAAATAGGTAAACTAACTGAAACAGAATGAGAATGACATTTTTTAGGTAAAGGAACTACAGTTGCTGAAGAGTGACTACTAGACTTTGTTATACTAGGCTCCAAAAGATAAAGACCATCCTGAGCTTTACTAAAAACTTGAGGGCTCTTCATGAGAGGGCCCTGCAAAATACACCCAAAAGAAGTGAATGCTAAGAGACATTTGAACCTATGGCAAAGTCTATGAACAAAAAGTAGATTATATATGAAATTGGGGATATATAAAACATTAGTTAAAACTAACCCTGGAAAAAAAGAAACATTCCCTGCATGAGTGACTCTTACCTTTGAAGAATTAGGTAGCTTGACTAGTAATGAAGTAGAAAGGGGAAACATAATTGAAAAGACTCAGAATTAAAGCACATATGCTCAGATGCTCCAGAATCTATGATCCAGGAACTTGAATTTGAATTAGCTAAAGAATAATAAAAGACAGAGTTTGTAAGGAATATACCAGCTGTTGAGTTTGCATTAACTTTAGTAGGTTTTCCTACTTGAATCTGGTTTAAGAGAGAAACCAGCTGTGTGAATTGTTCTGATGACAATTGTTGTGCAAACTAAGGACCTTCAGTGATGTTGTTGTTAGCTCCCTTTGTTTGATCCATAGCTGCAGCAGAATTTCCCCTCACATGACATTGAAATTTCTTAGTCTTTGTGAACTTGAAATTGGTTGGGAAATCTATGAGTCTATAGTAATTTTCAATTGTATGATTGGTCATCTTACAATAGGAACATATCTGAGCATTTCTATTTCCTTTGTAGACATTATTTCCTTTGTTAGCAACATTTCCATTTTTCTGCTGTGTGCTAAACTGATTTCCTGAAGATAGTTGTGTAGTATGTTGTGGGCTTCCTGCCAGAAATGAAGAGCCATCTCCTGAGAAGTGTGTGTTGACATGTTTCTCTCTTTGGTTCTCATCTTGTATCAATAGGGAATAGGCATGATTAACAGTTGGTAATGGGTTAATCATTTGGATATTACTTTTTGTTGGTCCATAGGTCTCATTCAATCCCATAAGGAATTGAATGAGCCTTTCATTTTCTTTGAATTGAAACATTTTTTGTTTTCCACCACAATTATAGTCGCAAGAGCAAATCATATTGCTGTTGAGAGTGTCCAGCTCATCCCATAAACCTTTTATTTTTGTGAAGTAACCAGGTATGTCAAATGAACCTTGAGCTAAATCTGCAAGTTCTTTTTGCGGGTGATATAGCTTAGCACCATTAGGTTGACCAAACCTATGCTCCAGATCTGTCCAAAGGTCTTTTGTAATCTTTGAGTAGAGAACCCTGTCAGCTATTACCTTGGAGAGAGAGTTCAACAACCAGGATGTAACCATGTCGTTACATCTGCTCTAGGTTTTGAAATCAGTGGCAGTGAGAGCTAGAGTTGGACAAGACTCATCGATGAACCCCAGCTTGTTTTTTGCTGAAAGGGAGATCAAAATGGATCTCCTCCATCCAGGATAACCACGTCCATCAAAGGGAGTGTTGACTAGAACCATTCCTGGAGCATCAGAGGCATGAAGAAGATATGGATGAGTTGTATCAATGGAAACAAGAGTTGTTCCTGTAGATGTTCCTGAAGATGTGTCATCGACAGTTGAAGAAGGTGCCATGATGATAATGATGAAAGCTTAGATTGGAAAAGAAAGAATTAGAGAACTACTCTAATGCTCTGATACCATATTGGAAAATCATAGACGAGACTTGAGAAAATTTTCTGTGTATTTCATTGAATTGAATGAATTAATCTCTGCAGGGACTGTATATAAATACAAACTATATCTCTAGTAAAGAAAAGAAAAAGAATGATGTCTATCCTATGTGTATTGTTTATATTGGCTACAAAAATAACAACCTAACCAACTTTTATTCCTCTCACATGTAGAGTCTTTTACCGTGTGGGAAGCTTCCAGAATTTATCATTCTTTAGTCTTCCTTGGATTCTAATCAGATGGTTCTGATTTGATCAATCAAAATATTTATCAACCCGTTGCGATTTGAACATGTGGCTCTTTATCAATCAACCCTTTAATTGTTTTGTTTGATAACTTTGCCAAACACATCGAAGACTCCGAACTCTTTGACTTATCTCTTTCTTCTTCATTTGCTTGTTCTTCTGTCAAAATTGAGGAGCTACAATGGTGAAATGGCGATCGAATTCCATCATTATCAGGCAAGAAAAAAGAATGAAAGAGGTAGAGTAAAAAAAGAAGAGTTCGNTTCTACCACATCTCTTGCTCATCCTTTTTTTTGTCGACTGTCAGTGTCTCTTCTCACTGTTCCTTCTATAATTGCCCTACTTCTAAAATTGGTTTAGTGACTCATTATACGTATACTTTGTTTGGGACAAGGGGCGAGCTGCTACGAGTTGGCCTCTCAAGAGGTTGTCAACAATTGTATAATGCCAAATAATATTCTCCATAAATAAATAGTTGTTAATTTAGGCCTTGCTCTCATTATTTTTATTTTGTAATGAATTGTCGACTAGTTTTGATGCTATTTGCCAAATGAAAGCACTGATTGTGCTTACGAAGGTGGAGCACATCCCATAGAGAGGTTTCCCATGACTTTAATTTTATGCTCACCTTCTGTTTCTCAAGGGCAAAAGTTAGTGACTGCACTAATATTACGGGAAATTTTGAAATTGAGATAGTACATTATTTCCTTATTTTTTGTTATGTGACAATTATAGTATGTTTAAAATGTATATCATATTTCTTTATTATATAAACTGAAGCAGATAAAGTTAATAAATCAAGTCAATGGAGTTGAGCATTCATTCATTAAGGTCTTCATTTTCCACAAATAAAGACAAAAAAGTCTCCATCTCAAAGTTTCCAACCCCTATCCTCTATCCTTGTCAAGAGCAGTTGCCAAGAAAAAGCCATCTTCCTTGCGAAGGTATAGTAGTACTACTTTTCCACAGCATAAAGCTATGCATTTGGTCATGTCCTCTTACTTGTTCCTCCATTTCCTATACTCCTATAAATAAAAGCGTCACATACAATAATCAGACTCAACTAAATTAGCCCTTCTCTCTCTTTGTTTCCCCTTATAAATTAGTACGGTACTATATTAGTCATCTTTTTGTTCAACTACTAATTAATATGGCGGACGCTTCCTACAGCCACCCTTTGTTTAGCTGCAGGAGTTGCCGGAATCCGATTGCTCTTCGAGATGATCTTCTCTCTAAACGTTTTGTGGTAATTACTCTAAAATTTCACTTCCTCTGTCTTAATTTATATCACCTAAATTATAGTTAGACTTGACATAAAATTTAAGAAAAAAAGAAATAAAGTAAGATTTTTGAAACTAATAGGTTTGAAAATTACCTATGTGGCTATAAAAAATTTGAAACTTGTATTTTAAATATGTCACAATATTTGTATACTTATAATAATTTGTAATCAAAGTTAAAATGAAGAGTTCAAGTTAAATTAATTTTAAATATAGAAAAACGTCATTTTACTTAAATCAACTAACGAGGAAAATAAGGTCATTTTTTTTGGATCGAAACAATTATTTTTGGTTAGATTATTAACTGTATATTGATTTCAATTGAATTGATAAATTAATTTACATAGGCAAAATCAGGAGGAGCATATCTTTTCAAGCATGCAATGAATGTAGTGGTGGGGAAAAAGGAAGATAGACAACTAATGACGGGTTACTTCAGCGTTGCTGATATATTCTGCAGCAAGTGTGGGGAGGAGTTGGGTTGGAAGTATGTTAAAGCTTATGATCCCTCCCAAAAGTACAAGGAAGGCCGCTTCATTATCGAGACTGCCAAAATTCTCAAAGAATATTGATGATCAGTACTCATCTGTAAATTAATAAAATTTCTGGCCATGTAAATATCGACGTTAAAAACCTACTTTTAAGTTTTAATCTCTCTTTTTTCATGCTACATTGCTCCTGATATGTAATAACTGGGTAAGTTTTATAATACAAGAAGCAGTTTGTCTAATTGCAAGCATAATCATACAAGAACTGTCTTAATATTATTTGGAAGCGTGAATGTTTGTTTTACTGTTAATATATGAGGAAGGGTTAATAAGATGATATTTGTGGTCTAATCAATTATATGCCATATCTTCCATTAAAAGTGTGGATAATCTAACATTTTAAGCAACCTTGGGAGACTTGGAAGTCTAATTATATGTGGACCATGAGGTATAAGATCCGAAATATAGCTGAAAATGATGGTCTTCGTTTTGGTAAAATTGGATAATGGATCAACACAGCTTGTTTCTTTCGGTGGACCAATAGGCTTCGGGTAGAACATTGCATCTTATAAGTTGATGCCCTCCTCCTTTTAGATATGACATATTTATCTTCAACATAAGAAAAATATTGAAAATTGTAGAACTTTTTAATTTTCAAAAATAGTGAACATATTTTTTAGCAACTCAAAATTTTAAAAAAATATGACAATCAATTTGGGACACTAGAAAATATTTTAAAATAATTAAAATAGAAAGAAAACGCCATCAGTCGAGACTCGTTAGAATGGGACCATTGTTGGGCTTGTTCACAAGAGAAATTCAAAAATAGCTAGATTTATAAGTGATCATTCAAAAATAGCTACAATTTTAAAAGTAATAAAATTTTTGTCATTTTTCATTTAAAGATAAATCTAAACGAAAACACTGTTCAAAATCCGGAAAAATACTCCAGTATAATATACTAAAATTCTAGCATAAGTGTACTGGAATTCCAGTATAGTTCCAGTATAATATATCGGTCCAACATATTATACTGGAACTTTTCGCGTGTTGGAGTTTCGGCATAATATGTTAGAAGTTCATACTCAGGTGCACCGATCTCCAACATATTATGCTGGAATTTTTCGTGTTGCAGTAAAATAATGGTTATTTTTTAATGACTTTACAAATATTGACTATTTTTGAATGACCAGTCCGAATACTGGCTAGTCCGTACTATTTTTACCTTTTTCATGAGTCATACCCATCAAATAAATGTTCGGCCCAATAAAGATTCGACCCAAAATGAGAGGGCGGCAGGGCGGCCACGATATGACTCAACTGCTGTATACAACAGTGAACTCTCCCTCTTCCAACAAAATCAACTCAAAACCAGGAGCATATCTTCTTAATTAACTTACCCTTTAATTCTAATCAAGAATGGCAAGTATGAACATGAGTGCGCACTGAACAGGTTAGTATAATATTCAAAGCATTAAAATAGTTGTTTGGTATCTGATTTTCGTATTGGTAGGTGAGTCCAAGCAAAGAATAAAAAGCCTTTACTCATTTTCTTTCCATTTCTGCTTTTTCTTAACAAACTTAATTGTCCTCAGTGATGGTTTTGTATCGGTTTTTACAGCTCAGATTCTTGTCATATCCTACATATTGAATTGTTGTAATTTGTAGCTTTCTTTACTTGACTAAAATTTTAATTTGAATTTTATGTATTGTTAATTGATGAAAAGTAATCCTGTCTTTGTCAAAGCAGCTTAATTTTTTTTTCCAAGTTTCGTGATTGATACTTTCACCCAATTCCGTATAAAAGTTATTATCACGGCCGTGCAAGTTAAACCTATCCGGGGTTGTTATTATCCTGTAGAGCAGAATTCTGGGTCGTCTGCATTTTCTTCTAAGGTAATTTTTTGTTGTTTTCTTTACTTTCTCTCTGCAGATTGATGGATTATGCTTTAGCTTTTGCTCCTCTTGTTAAAGTTGTTACCTTTGTTGAGTTCCCTTGTATAACTTTTTCCTGTAGGATTTGGTCATTTGGGTTTCTGAGGTAAGTTATCAGTGAGGGATTTATCGTTGGATTTTTGTTGAATGGATGAATTGGTCGGACCTCGCTTGTACAGCTGCTATAAATGTCACAATCATGTTTCTCTTCATGATGATATAGTCTCTAAGGCGTTTCAGGTAATTGATTCCGTATGTGCCTTGTTAACTTTTAGTTATTCTCATGTCTAAATACTGTACTTTTCTGTTAGTGTTTTGTATATGGTGGTTTACGTCGCAATAATATTATTTTCATGCGAACATCAAAGTTATTTATTATGCTTGCACCTGTTCGGAATGAGTAGAGGTCAAACTTTGTGCTGATCTCTTATTACTCAGTACTAGTTCCCAATTTTCATTAGCTTAAAACCAGTGTTTTCAGATGAGTTTTATTAACTAAATCCCTCATTTGTCTTGAACTCAAAGTAAAGGATGACTTTCACTCGTAGTTAAGGAAAAAACTAAATGAGAAACGAAGAAAAATAAGGTGAAATTAGCTCACTCTTATTGATGCTTTTGACCACTTCTTGACTTCATCCTTCATGGGATGTAATGAATAATGATTATTGTTTTCTTTTAGTTCAAGAATTAGTCAAGTCTTAACATTAAGCTGAAGTGTCCGATAATTTTTAACTAGTTAGTTTATTTGTGGTCATCTTGTTTCTGAGAATCGTCCAAAGAAAACAAATATTGATTTTCAGGGAAGAAATGGCAGAGCTTTTCTGTTTACTCATGTGATGAATATTAACGTTGGAGCTAAAGAAGACAGACATCTCATGACTGGTCTTCATACTGTTGCTGATGTATACTGTGGGGATTGCAATGAGGTTTTGGGCTGGAAATATGAACGAGCTTATGAGCAAACACAGAAGTACAAGGAAGGGAAATTCATACTTGAGAAATCTAAAATCGTTAAAGAGAATTGGTAGACCGGCACCAATTCATTATTGATTCTTTATCTCTAGTACTTAATGTAAGTAATGTTTATCCTATCTATATATATCTCTGTACAGAACTTTCCAAACTGAAAAATTGCAAATGCTCAATTGAATATTTCTGCCATCTCTTATTTCATAGTAAAATTTATTGATACGCAACTCTGTTAGTTAACAATTTTCTATACATTTTTTCAATTTATCTGTATTCCCGATCAGAGGCGCATCCAGGATTTTAAGTTTATGGGTTCCTATCTCAATCTCATATTAATATACAATAATAACTGGGTTCACAAATAGATATTTAATAAAAATACAGAATCTACGCAAAAGTTACTGGGTTCCCGGGAACCCATATATCATACTCGAGATCCGCCCTTGTTCCCAATTCTCGTTGAACAGTATATAGTTTTTGAAGAGCCCCCGATACTTTGTGGGGTAATTCTGCAATGAATCAGAGCTGATTGTGGGACACGGTCGCTCTAGATTGCATGTTAAGATGCCAACCTTAGGGGAACATTTTAGGTTTTTGATTATGTCTGCATCAGCCAGTTCTCTTGGTGTCACAGGAAACCAAGGGTTGAGACTGCCAGACGGCTTGCTATGATTATTTAAATTTCCTATTACCAAAGCTTCTAGAAGCTCTTAATCCCACCCTTGCACAGTGACACTTTGTGAAATCACTCTGCATTAAGCCGGTAGATCCAAGACTGAGTTCGCTCTGGCTGCAGTGCCTTTAAAACTCGGGTGAGAGGTTAGTTGTAGATATAAGAAGAGGAGGAAGGAGGAGGGTATACTTGTGGTAGAGAGTGCACCCTTTGTGCCCCTAAGTTCAAGCCGAGAGCCCTTTAAAAGGGTTTTCTTGTGATTGCTGACTTTTGTCCTTGAATGAAGTATGCAGAAGTTATAACATTTGGTACATCTGTCTTATAAGTAAGGCTTATGCCTCGTCATTACTATGAGTTTCTCTTTATTTTTAGTGCAATTTCAAGTTTGTTGACTTCCAGTCATCTCTTATCGACTACATAGCATAAGTAAACCAAAGATCTAATGAATTTTTCATTCCCTTGAGAAAGAAAAGATGTGCTAAATCAGATAGCTGTGCACCGGCTAACATAGAAAAACACGTAAAGGTTGACTGGGCTTTATGTGTTGTATGGTTAATTTAGCTTACCTGCTTCTGAGTATCTGTTTAGCTATTACTAGTTCCTTATAAAGAAAATGGCACGGGGTCCAACTCAACTCCAAACGTTACTTCTCGAGACATGGTTGCCTAAAACTATATTAGTAGACAATAACCCGTTCCCTGAACCAATGTGGGACATTCTAACATCTTCATCCTCCTTCTAGGAACAAAGGAGATACTAATGATTCTAGAAAAATCATAGAGATGTTAAGGAAAAAGCTTAATTACCATAAGAAAGTAATAGTACTAGAAATTCTGATTAGAAGAATATCCTGCTTCAGTTGCAAGAGCCCTCTTGCAATATGCAATACAAAACTGAGGGTCATTCAGTGTAATAAAGCACTGTAGTAACGACAACAAACCCAATGTAATCCCACTAGTGGGGGCTAAGGAGGTTAGAGTGTACGCAAACTTTACTCCTACCATAAGAAGGTAGAGAAGCTGTTTCTGGGAGACCCTCGGCTCAGAAAAGATAGTGAGGAAGGAGAATTAAAGCACAATAATCAAATTAGAAACTATCCTGATTGACTTACTAAGGCACAAAATCCATCTTTCTATCTCTTGCAAAAACTTAGCAGTTAGTTGAATAATAACGAAGTAGAAGCAGAAGTAGAAGAGGGAAAAGAAGGGTCTTGCACTGGTGCATTAGCATTTTGGCTTGTGTGTACCATTGCAATGTGTTGGTTAGGAGGAGGGTGATGAATGTGTTGGCCTCTATAAGTTACAACCACCTTGTTTGCAGCCGTTGAACTTTGCTGAACATGTCTTCTTGCTGGACAATTTTCAACTTCATTGCACCTATAGTAGCTCTTGAGAAAGGGCGAACCACCCGTTCTCTTCATCCCATACTTTCTCCATCTCCATTGATCTGCCTCACTCAATTTCTCAGTCAATATTTCATATCTTTCTGTACTCTTTCCACGATAAGAAAACGCCTTGCCTTCTTCAATTCTTGATAATTGCATTGAACCTCTTGCCTTCTTGTTCTTCTCCTCGTGTTCTACAACAAGTGGAGTGTTTGGAATAGTTTCAGTTTTGTTTTCTGGGTTGTGGGGTTCAATTCTAGAATTTGTATTCACATTCTTGGAAAGGCAAC